GGTATAACTGGTTTATGGTTTAGTTCAAATCCTCTGTTTCCTTTTGATCTTCTTTCTATCTATTGTTTTACTCACTATTGAAAGAGGGGAGTTGAAGTTTCCACTAAGAGCTATCAAAGTGCATTGCTTTTACAATTTGTATTTTTCAAATGTGATTGTTGTGATACCTCCCTCCTTTTTCTTATTAAATCATGACCTGTCCTTAAAGCCCACATTGTCCAGAGAGAAGGCAGTTACAAGTCATTGTTGCTAAGGCAATAAAAAGTGACAGAGACCCTAGGAAAATGGTAAAAGATCAGATCAAAGTTGGTAAGAGAGGCAGTAAGTGCCTTTGGGGCAAGGATTGTTACTATTAATGGAGGGATTAGGAATATGATGGTTAACAACTGTCATATTCTAAAGAATATTACATGTTTCTAAGGAAATAAGGGTTTCTTGAGGGTACAAATTATTTGGTGTGAAGTGGATTAGGGCATGGCTTGCAGATTCATGCCACAGATGTCAGGCAGGTGACATCAATGAGGCAAAGGGGAAAAAGACTGATCACTAGTTGGCTCCAGTGAGGACTGAGAGATTGGTGCATTGATTTGGAGCATTTACTTTAGTGCCATCTGAACATCAAGTTACAGAGGAGTAAATCATCAGGTATGCTGAAGGTATGTACAAGGTTGTCATCTCAATCTTTTTTGGCTCATTAAATAATATTTCTTTCTTTTTAAAGAGCGTAGCCTCTTCACCCTTGCCATTTAAGGGATTACTGAATTGTTAGGCATGTGTGCGTTTGCATTTAAGGGATTACTGAATTGTTAGGCATGTGTGCATTGGAGACATTTGGTGAATAAGGAACTAAATGAGGATAGGAAATCCTCATTAGTCAGTGATGACATTACCCATCCTGAACCTGTCACTCAGTCCCAGCACATCTGATTGGTCAAATTTATTTTGGCAGATGTCTTTTGCCAAGAAATCAGGCCAACCAGTTTCCTAGTTTAAGTATCAATGGGTCAGTCAACTGATGTAAGCTAGATACAGTTCTGTCAGTCCTCCTTAGAATACTAGAAGATCACTAAAATAGCCAGTTGGCCAGGCAGGCTGTTGGTACTTGAAGACTGTTCAACCTGACAAGAAAACAAATTTCTCCCCCATTATAAAAGGCTACCCTAGTACAAGGACAGAAGATATTTCTTCTGGGGCTCTGGGAAGACATTTAATATGAAAAGATGCCAGAGAAGACAAACATAGAGGCAGGAAGTCACATGAAGGTGTTACACCCCTTCTTTCAGGGTAACATGTCTCTCCAAGGGCAAAGATATGTGAATGTAACAAAAAACTTTTCTCCTTTGAACTGTCAGAAGGATTATTTGGAGAGTAAAAATGAGGGGAACTATTGTTAAAATGGATTAAAGTGATGATTCCCAGATTTTCTTTGCATGCCCATCTGGTTGATCTTGGAAATGGGTTTTTACATTATTGTTTTGCAAAATTGCTTAGACTGGTACTTACAAAGTATTTGTGTGGAAGCAAAGAAAAAAAAAGTTATACTCTACAATACTAATAAACTGATTAAATGTGTACACATAACTTTGAACTGGGAAACCCAATTTATTGAAAATACTGTTTTGGTTGACAAAGATCTGAAGAACAGTTCTGTACACTTCTGAAGATTAAGAACAAGTTTTAAAAATTTATAAAATACCCGTAAATGGAGAACTTATAGCAATATTTTACCTATTTATAATAAATTAATCACCTCAAAAGATAACTTGGAACATCAGAAGGAACAATGTTCAGATTTCACTTTGATAACTGTACCTTCAGCAAGTATTTCTTAGTGCCTAATACGAAGAGGGACTGTTTCATGTGTTTGAGATACATTGTGAATACAACAGACAAAAATTCCTGCCTTGTTTTCTGTCTTTATTAGCTTGAAGGTCCTTAATGGGTGGGCACACAGAAAATGAACTCCTCCAGGGTCTCTAGATGAGGCATCCATCTGCCAGAGCAAAAGACCGTGAGTTGCTAAGGAGATCAACCAGGCAGGGAGAGGGAGCATAAATGACTAGAGCACAGACCATGGTCTCCAATTGGTGATGTATTGTATGGGAAGGTATCCCGTGGGCCTACCTCTGCTAAGGGACAGCAGGTAACACATGAGTCCCCAGTCATGAGGCTTTGTCACCTGGCCTCCCAGTGACTCAGGCCGCCCGAGTGAATCAGTTCAACCCTACAGGGTTCCTGATCCTTAATATCAAACCCAATCATAATCCTCAAATATCCTATTTAAAAGGGGCAGGGAGAGAGATAATTTTAAATATTTTCTTCCTGAGTCTGAGTAAAAAAAGTTTAAAGAAAGACTTGCTTTATATTACGAAGTATTACAAAAACAGAGTAAACAGTGATGTTTTGATTCTCAGGGACTAACTGGTCCTAACAGGTGCTAACTGGGTTGTGTACCATTAATCTTCCTGTCATAGCTGCTTCTCTCCAGGGGTAACCTTATGTTCTCCTATTGTCAATGCATTTTCTTGGTAAGGCTGCTGGCAGTTCTACTGTTACAATGTAACTGGCCTATGATATTCTATTTCTTAAGTCCTAAGGTGTATTCTTTTTCCAAACTTGGTTCAATTATCCTTCTGTGAAAAATTCAATAGCAGGCCAGAAAGATGGGTATTATGGCTCTTATACATGCCAGTCCTATTCACAAAGGGATGTTACTAAAATATCAGAATGTTATTTAATCAGTCATATGCACTATTTACAAATGACAATTTAGTATATAAAGATATTTAAAATCAGTGGGAAAAAGCTGAATTAATCAATGGCATATGAAGTACTTGCTATTTATCCAGAAGGAAAAAAATTTTGCAAATTCTTGTATCCAATGACATCAATGGAAGCATCACATAAAGAGCCCTTTACTTCGTACCCAGTGTGAAATGGGTGACTTTTTGCCGTACCAGTAAAATGATGGATCCAAGTAGCAATGGTCAGAATCTGGATGGAGAAAGCTCCATCGGCAGCTTGATTCCAGTCAGTCTTATCAGAAAATAGTCTCTTATTATGGGCATCTACTTGAGCAACCCAGATGGTTGTACTAAGCAGCTGTGACTTTTAACCCCCATGTACAAAGGATGAAAGGGTGCTTTTTAATATATAATTTCCAACTAGAATATCAAATAGCTAGGCCACATCCAGAGCCCAAGGTTTAACAAAAATGTAACAAGGTTCATCAAATGGAGTATTGGCCAGAGCTGAGAACACTGTGTTCTTTCCACTGAGAGGAGTGACCATTTCACTCTGGGTTTCTTAACGGCACTGAGTAGGATCCTAGTAGTTTCAGTTAGTGAAACCATCAGTGAGCCAGGCCCAATTACAGTAACCTCTATGAATTGAGGACTCTATAAGCCAGCAACTTTGCTTCCTTCAGGAAAGAGGGGATACATTATTTCCCTTTTAAGAGACAGCTACTACTATTGCATATACAGCTGACATACTGTGGGGCCACGATAGCTGCCTTCCTGAATGCTCCATTTTCACTCCACAAGTGAGGCTTGCTGGGTCCTTTTCATTTTGTTAGTTGTTGAGTCCAAGACAACACACTCCCAAACTGGAATTTTAGGTCAGAGCCCTCTACCCAGGGAAGGGATAGCCAATGTGTAAAAAGCCCAAGAGTAAACTAACAGATGCTTTTCAGAAGGGATGGACCTGGAAGCCTTGTCAGGGAATGAAGTCAACCCCATCCCCCAGCTCCCAAGGGCTGCTCCCTTTTGCCAGAAGTTTCAACCCACGAAATCACCAGTCACAGAGACCTGAAGTCCAAAATGATCAGAGCTGTTGGACCTCAGACGTATCTTTACATACAATTCTTCCTGATTAGAATTCTATGACTTATGCGAATTACAGGGAATTTGAATTCTCTCTATAACTGATGGGAATTAATCCCTACTATACTTTCAGATGTAAACATAACTGTAGTACACTCCACTTGCCCAAAGTACCTCATCCATAAGGTTATTACATTTGTTTGCCTTCCCTACCCAAACCCCATTAGCTAAATCTAGATGTCCCTTATCCCCACATGAACTAGTAAGATGTTCTCTTGGGCATGGATTCAATAAAGCCATATAAATTTGAACCCCTCCCCTCCTTGGAGGTTTCCCATAATACTTCGTTGGGTGCCAATGGCCTTTGGAGCTAGGGAAAACTCCTCCTTAAAGCAGATGTAGCTGGGGTATATGGAGGTGTCAGGAGGTGTGAAGGAAGTACCTTTGTGCAATTAAGCAAGGCACAATTACGTTGAACTGCACAGTGGGTGCTCACCATTCAGCCAAAAAGGACTTTTAGGTTCATGCAAAGCCCTGTATCAGGTGGTACTATCAATTTCATTACATTGAAAGGATGTCTTTCCCACAATTCTCTGATCATATTTGAGGTTCTCCTTGACTTTATAACCTCCTGATAAGGTTTGTGCCCTCTGGTTGACTTAAGCTTGGCTTACACAGCAGCATTCTGCCTTCATGGCAGAACATAACTAAATTATGTGTAGAAACAAATAGACTCAAACATGTAAACGCTCAACAGAATACAGTAGTCCCCACTTATCCACAAAGGATACTCTCCAAGAATCCCAAGTAGATGTCTGAAACCACAGGTATACTGAACCCTGTATATACTATATTTTTTTCCTATATATACACATGCCTATGATAGTTAAATTTATAAATTAGGCATAGCGCGAGATTAACAACTAATAATAAAATGGAATAATTATAACAACATGCCAGAACTGCTCTTGCAATTTGAGGCCACTATTTAGTAAAATAAGTGTTACTTGAATACAAGCACTGCCATACCCTGACAGGTGATGACTAAAATGCCAAGTAAGTGACTAACTGGCAGAGAGTGTGGGTACACTAGACTAAGGAATGATTCAATAATCCTCATGGGAGAGAGAGCAGGAGGGTATGAGACTTCATGACACTGCTCAGAATTGGGTGCAATTTAAAATGTAGGAATTGTTTATTTCTGGATCCATTTAATAACTTTAAAGTGCAGTTGACCATGGGTAATGGAAATTGCATAAAGTGGAAATGCAGATAAGGGGGGACTACTGTATAAGCTAAAATTTTGCTCACATCGTGTTCAACTGGGAAAGATGCAGAAGAGAATTTTGCTGCATATATTCATTCAGGCACGCTGACTTATCTTGTACCATGCTGCATTCAAGCACGGCACCAAGTTTGTCCTAGCAATGATATCCATTTTGTTGTGACAGGGCCCTGGTAATTTGTTAGGGGAGTCTCTTATTTTTCAGACTGGGATGGACATCCACATCTTAGTAGCCAGTCACAAAGACCGACATGGATGAAAAGGAGATTGGGAAATGTGGACTGTGTGCCCGGAATAAAATGAAACTGGTACTGGTGAAGAGATTACCAGCCTGTGTGATGTGTGGGAGCTATCTAATAGGGTATGACTTCATTCAGGCCTATCCATAGTACTCTGAAAAGAGAAGAGAAGCCTGTGTGAATTCTTCGATATACTCGGAAGGTTGTCTTTTGGACACAATTCTTCCTGCATTCATCTTCATCTCGTTTCTTTCCTACGTGAATTCTGATTCACCGTGAGGATTTACTTCTGGGACTGTCTTCTTATATTGACTACCCTCAGTTGTTTTTTGTGTATCTCTGATATCAAATGGGGTATTCTTTTTGTCAAAAGAATTTTCTAGTTATTACATCAATAGGCATTCCCCTCTCCCTGAATTTTCTGGTATATGCTTAGGGTTGACTTCTTATATATACAATTTCCCATATTCACTACATTCATAAGATTTCTACCCACTGTGAGTCCTTTGATGTATTCTGAGGTTTGATTTCTGGCCAAAAGTTTTCCCACATTTATTACACTGAAAGGGTTTCTCCCCTGTGTGAATTCTCTGATGATCACTAAGGATTGCTTTCCGGACAAATTTTTTCCCACATTCATTACATTTAAATGGTTTCTCCCCAGTGTGAATTCTTTGATGCACTCTGAGGGTTGATGTCCGGGCAAAAGTTTTCCCACATTCATTACATTTGAATGGTTTCTCTCCTGTGTGAGTTTTCTGATGTTGAATGAGATGATCTTTTCGCCAGAAGGATTTTTCACATTCATTACACTGGTAAGTTTTCTCCCCAGTGTGAGTTCTCTGATGTATTCTGAGGTTTGACTTCTGGCCAAATGTTTTCCCACATTCATTGCATTGAAAGGATTTCTCCCCTGTGTGGATTCTGTGATGATCTCTGAGGGTGGACTTCTGAACAAAAGTTTTCCCACATTCACTACATTCATAGGGTTTTTCTCCTGTGTGAATTCTTTGATGTCCCCTGAGGGTTGACTTCTGGACAAATGTTTTTCCACATTCATTACATTTATAGGGTTTTTCTGCTGTGTGAATTCTCTGATGAGTACTGAGGTGTGACTTCTGGGAGAAAGTTTTTCCACATTCACTACATTCAAATGGTTTCTCTCCTGTGTGAGTTCTCTGATGTTGAATGAGATGTCCTTTCTGACAGAAGGATTTCCCACATTCATTACATTTATAGGGTTTTATCTTCGAGTGACTTCTCTGGCGAACTCTGTTAATCGACGTCTGGTAGGATTTCTTATTTTCATGACATTCAGAGGATTTAACCCAAGTCTGTGTTCTGTCACTATTTACCAGTGGGTTCTCTTCTGTGACAGTTGTTTGAGGATCAGTGAGGTGTGCCTTTCTGTTGAAATTATTTCCACTTGAATTTAATTCATAATGTTTTATACCCATGTTAAATTTATTATATTCATCCACAGGTGACTTCTCAAAGGATTTCCCACACTGATGAAGATGTGGGTGTTTCTTCCCTGTGCCAGTTTTCCTGTGGTCAAAGAGAGTTTTCTTATCACAATTTTTCCTAAATTCATCATCTTTAGAAGATGTTTCTCCTGTGTGAGGACTCTTATGTTTAACACAGTTAGCCTTATCATTAAAGGCTTTTCCAATTTTATTACATTCAAAAGCTTGCTCCAAAGTGTGAAACTTTGCATGCTTGGGAAGATTTTCATTATAATTGAGAGCTCTCGTGTTTTTATTATGTTCATAAAATTTCTCTCCAGTCTGAGTTTTCTCAAAGTTAATTTTGAAAGGTGAATTCTCACATACATTACAGCAACCTATTTTCTTTGTTGAATAGTTTCTATTATTAATGATACATTCAGAAATACTCTGCAAATTCACACCCCATGAGTCACATTTGCAGGACATTTTTGTTGAAGCAACAGCAGCTACATGCAGAGTAAATGGTTTCCCCAAAACTTTCTCTCCCTCCGTACTCGATGTTTTATTATTGATACATATTGCTTGCTGCAAGTGTTTGTCTTTGATTTTCTTGTTCTGCTTGATCAGGTCATCACCTCTGTAATCTTCTAAAACAGAAATATTGAAAACATCTTATGACTCTTACATCTTTTGTGGGTAGGGCTTATCAACATACAGCCTATGTTGCACTTAAGGATTTATCAAGATTAAATAATTCAGATGTGTGTGTGTGTAAATACATATATCTCAGACCACCCTCCTTTAAAAAATATTGCTATAGTGCAAATGGGAGAGGAAACTGGTAATGAATACATATTTTGCATGTGATTAGTAAGATTTTCCTAACTGGGTGGAGAGAGGAAAGAAAATAAAACTTAAGCTTTTTATAGGGGTAGTTATTTTAGGGAGCAGGAAAAAACAGAGAATGGGATAAATACAACAAAACTCCAAATGTAAGTAGTATAACAAGGAAAATAGTTGAAAGTAAATTACAGTTGAAAGTAAGTTACAGTCTAGGTCTTGACATTATCTAGATTATAATGGTTAGAATAGTCTACTGTCTACATTCTTACAATTTGATATCCCTCAATTCAACATCAAATTAAATTTATAACAGCACCAACTCCTTTATGATTAAATGAAAAAGTTTACAGCTCTAACCCATCTTATGGTTGTGATTCATAGCAAGTATAAAATTGTTGAAATTAAAATGCATTCTTGCAACTAACTTAGATGCACTACTCCATTCTGGCTGTCATAGCATTGATGTATTCCATCAGAACTAAGCGCTAAGTGAACCTGATATCCCATCCTAAGTTTTCACATTTCAATCTGACATGAGGGGTACAATTTTAAATAGGGTACCATAGAAAGTTTTACTGTGAAAATGACATTTAAAAGACGTCTGGATTATTTATGCATTCTAAATGCCTATCCTTGACAGGTCATATTGCAAATATCTGCCACTTCTCGCTTACCTCTTAAGATTTTATTAAGCATGAAACAATATATATCTGCATAAAACTTTCATGTACAACTTAATAGTATTAAGTGAACACTCATGGAATCAGAAACCATGTTATGAAACACAAATGGCTCTGCAAAAATCCCTGTGTACCTCTGCTTGGTTATAACTTCTCTATGTTTAGAATTCACCACTCTCCTAATATTTATGTAATCATTTCTTTGATTTTCTTCAGTTTTATCACCAATATATGAATTCCTAAAAATGTAGTTGAATTTTGCCTGCTTCTGACCTTTACATAAATATAACCATATATGCATATTTTTTGTTTTCTTTTGGTTAATATCATGTTTGTAATCAGTATACAAGATTTTATGTGGCTGTATAATTTTTCCTTAAAGAATACAACTGTTTCTCCATTCTACTGTTGATGAGCACAACTTTTGCCAAACATAAACAATACTGCCATTAATATTCTTTTATGTATTCCAGAGAACATAATCGTATCTTTTTATTGGTCATACGGTTAGAAAAGGAATTACTTGGCTACAACATGCAAAAGTATACCCTGATTAGAAAACATCCTGGTGGGATGCAAAGGCATAAGAATGATACAACGGACTCTGGAGACTTGGGGTGGGGGAAGGGTGGGGAGGGGGAGAGGGAAAAAAGACTACAAATTGGGTTCAGTGTATACTGCTTGGGTGATGGGTGCATCAAAATCTCACAAATCACTACTAAAGAACTTACTCATGTAACCAACACCTGTTCCCCAAACACCTATGGAAATTTTTAAAAAAGAGGCTGGATGTGGTGGCTCATGCCTGTATTCCCAGCACTCTGGGAGGCTGACGCGGGCGGATCACGAGGCCAGGAGATCAAGACCATCCTGGCTAACATGGTGAAACCCCGTCTCTATTAAAAATACAAAAAATTAGCTGGGCATGGTGGCAGGTGCCTATAGTGCCAGCTACTTGGGAGGCTGAGGCAGGAGAATGGCATAAACCTGGGTGGTGGAGCTTGCAGTGAGCTGAGATTGTGCCACCGCACTCCAGCCTGGGCAACAGAGCAAGACTCCGTCTCGAAAAAAAAAAAAAAAGAAAAAGAAGAAGAAAACATCCTCCTGATATCACAGTGGTTTTACCAGTTTATATTTTCAGTCAATGGAGGGTGTCTAACATTCTATATACTCACCAAGACTTGGCATTGCCGTATGTGTAAACTTGCTTTGTATCTGTTATTTCACCTCATATCTCATTTCATATATTATTTTGTGCTCCATGAAAACTAACGAGATTGAACACATTTTCTAAGATTTACTGGCCATATTAAAAGTTCTTGTTCAATGTTTTTGGCCATTTTTCAATTGGGTTGCCCATCTTTTCCCACAATGACTTGCAGAATTTCTTTACATTTTCAGGAAGCATATCATTTCTAAGTTATTTGCACTACATACATATTATAGTAGTTGGTGGCTTGTCTTTTCACTATTGAATAATATATTTTATCAACAAATTTCTTACTTTTAATGGAATCAACTTTATTAATCATTTTCTTTTAACTGCTGCTTTTTGTGCCTTTAGACTTTCTAAGAAAAGTCTTGCGATATTCAGGTATTCACCCCTAAAGTGACCTGGAGTCTAACCACTCCTACAGAATTATGTCTACTACTGCTCAGTAACTCACTTGGGTGACTCTGGTTTGAGAATTCTTCCTCTGAGAACCAAGGCTCTTCTCCTTGCTCCAACTTGAAGATCACCTCTGGTTTGAAATGGCAGTACCCTGTAAATAAGGAACAACAGAGGACTTAGACCAGATATATGAGATTTTAGTCTCCAAAAGTGGAAGAAAATACAGCTTCAGAAGCAGTATCCTGAAAGTGCTCCTTTGCATTTATCACTGGGAGTTGACAACATATTCTTTCTGGTCCTCGACAGGGCATAGTTACTTTGGAATCCTGAATGAAAAGCCTAAATAACATTAAACTCTAAGTATATTGTTCACATGTATTGGCACTTAAAAAAGAAATACCTTCTATATGGAGTTACAAGGGTAACTTATGTTTACATGCTTACCCACTGAGACGAGGTTGCTGTAGTTCTCCAGCATCACATCTCTGTACAGATTCTTCTGAACAGGGGCCATTTGCTGCCACTCCTCCTGGGTGAATTCTATAGTCACGTCCTCGAATGACACTGACGCCTGTAACAGTACATTTCTATTCAATCTCAAGGGTTCAGAATTAGATGACGTAGAAAATACCCATGAAAACAATTCTTACCATGTTTAACTCTAAAAAGCTTGAACGAATATAAAGGATGCCTATTTTGAATCTAATTTTATCTTATACTTTGAAGGTATTACACTGGTAAAAGTTTTTATAGGAGAGGTGCAGTGGCTCATGCCTGAAATCCCAGCACTTTGGGAGGCCAAGGTGGGAGGACTGCTTGAGCCCAGGAGTTCAAGACCAGACTGGGCAACACAACAAGGCCCTGTCTCTACAAAAAACTTAAAAAATTAGCCAGGTATGGTGGTATGTGCCTGTAGTCCCAGCTACCTGGGAGGCTGAGGCAGGAGGATTGCTTGAACCCAGGAGGCTGAAGCTGCAGTGAGCCATGATCACACCACTGTATACCAGCCTTGGTGACAGAGCAAGACCATGTCTCAAAGAAAATGTTTATAAATGATCTGTATATATTTATGAGTTATAAACATACACTATAAATAGATATATTAGTAAAGCTTTTGTTTTAATTCTTATTTTTGTAGCCAAAAAATGTAAATAAACTTCCTACAATTTTTATTCCATCCCAACAGACTACCCTGGGCACACATCAGGGCAGGAGTCAGCAAATTATGGCCTTTGGGCCAAATCTGGCTTGCCAGTTTTTTGTGCATGTGTGGTAGAGACAGGGTCTTGCTATGTTGCCTAGGCTAATCTTGAACTCCTGGCCTCAAGTGATCCTCCCACCTTGGCCTCCAAAAGCTCTGGGATTATAAGTGTGAGTCACTATACCTGGCCACTTGCCACTTTTTAAAGTCAGTTGGCACACAGGCACACCCAATCATGTTGCATTGTTTATGGCTGTTTTTGTGCTGAAATAGCACTGAGAAATTCCATCAGAGACCTTATGATTGTCAAAACTGAAAATATTTATTACTTGCCTTTATAGAAAAAAAATTACCAACCTCTGGACTAAATAATCATATTAGAGGAAAGATAAAGAAAGTATAATACAACAACAAAGGAAACATATTTTATATATATAGGAATTACGTAGATTGGAAGTAAAAGGATGGAAAAAGATATACCATATAATCAAAACCGAAAGATAGTTGACATGACTGCATTATTATCATACACAGATTTTAAGGTAAGAAAGAGGTATAAAAAATGAGTAATGGGCCGGGTGTGGTGACTCATGCCTATAATCCTAGCACTTTGGGAGGCCGAAGCAGGTGGATCATGAGGTCAGGAGTTCGAGACCAGCCTGACCAACACAGTGAAACCCTATCTCTATTAAAAATACAAAAGTTAGCCGGGCATGGTGGTGAGTGCCTGTAATCCCAGCTAGTCAGGAGGCTGAGGCAGGAGAATCATTTGGACGTGGGAGGTGGAGGTTGCAGAGGGCTGAGATTGCTCCACTGCACTCTAGCCTGGGTGACAGATTGAGATTCTTGTCTCAAAACAACAACAACAACAACAAAACTGAGTAACAATTTGTAATGATAAAACAGTCCTTTCAATAGAAGATACAACAAATCAAAATTGCTATGCACCTGGCAAACATAGCTTCCAAATAGCATTTCTCATTATTCGCAGATTACATATTTGTAAATTCACATACTAAAATTATTTGCAACCTCAAAATCAACGCTTGCAGTTATTTTGCAGTCATTTGTGGACATGTACAGGAAGGTAAAAAATTTGAATTGCCTGACATACATGTTCCCAGATGAGGCTGAACAAGGTGATCTTCTGCTTTCTTGTTTCAGCTCTGATAATGTAAATAAATGTCCATTTCTCAGTCTATTTAGTGCCATATTTACTGCATTTTTGTGCTTTTTCTTGACAATTTCACTTCTTTTTTTTTTTGAGATGGAGTCTCACTCTGTTGCCAGGCTGGAGTGCGGTGATGCGATCTTGGCTCACTGCAACCTCCGCCTGCCAGGTTCAAGAAATTCTCCTGCCTCAGCCTCCTGTGTAGCTGGGACTACAGGCATGTGCCACCCTGCCCAGGTAATTTTTTAAATTTTTAGTAGAGATGGGGTTTCACCATGTTGGCCAGGATGGTCTTGATCTCCTGACGTTGTGATCCGCCCGCCTCAGCCCCCCAAAGTGCTGCGATTACAGATGTGAGCCACCGCGCCCGGCCAATGATTTCACTTTTTAAGTGGCCCATATGTATAGCAGTTACGTGCTGTCTAGTGTGCCTATGTGCAAGAAGCCTGTGATATGTCTCATGGAGAAAACATCTATGTTAGATACGATTCATTCAGGCATTAGGTATGGTGTTGGCCATTAGTTTGATCTTTATAAATCAACAATATTAAATAAGGTGTCTTTATGCAGAAAGACATACAAAAAGATTATGTCCTGACTGGTTGATAAAAATGTGACCAGAGGCTTACCCCTGTATTTCTCCTCAGAGCAATGGTTCAGTATTTATTAGTTCAGTGTTTGTCGTGACTTTTTGGAACATTACTACTGAGAATAATGAGAACTGACCGTATATAAACAAAAGATGACAGAAATGAGATACCAATCTACAATTTTAATTAGTGATTTTAATGTAACTCTCCCAGTAACTCATAGAAAAGCAGATTAAGAAAAACCAACAGGGATATAGAACAGAAGTCAGTGAACTACAGCACAAAGGTCAAATCCAGCTCAGCTCACCACTACTGTTTTTTTTGGTTTTTTTTTTGGTAAATGAAAAATACCACCACTACCAATTTTTTTTTGTAAATAAAGTTTTCTTGGAACACAGCCACATTCATTTGTTTATGCATTATTGATGGCTGCTTAACACTACAGCTGCAGAGTCTGGCAGATGCAACAGAGACTGTATCTCTCACAAAGCCTACTATCTGACATTTACAGGAAAAGTTTTCTGACCACTGATACAGAAGATTGAAAAGACATAATTAACCAACGTGAATGACATATACAGGATAACCTCTGCATAAAATAGTTCTCTGGTGTCCTTTGCACATCAAAAAAAAAAAAAGACAGTCTATCTCACTAAATTACAAAAAATTACAATCATACAGCGTAGCTTTAGATCTTAGCTTCGAGATGTAGAAAGCTGATAAAAGCAACACTAACGTCCTTAGAAGAACATACCTGGGCAAACAGAAAATTATCATCTTTTTTTTCAAACTATTAGGAGAGAGATAGGCACCTGCAGGGAGAATCAGGATGTGCTCATTTGCTAAAGGTAAATGTATACTAGTCTGAGTGTGTGAAGTCCCTGGGGGCCATACACATAGGATTATTTTCACCTTGTTACAGGATGAAAGGAAAAATCAAAAGAGAAATTAGATCGGGCACGGTGGCTCATGCCTATAATTCCAGCACTTTGGGAGGCTGAGGCAGGCAGATCACTTGAGGTCAGGAGTTTGTGACCAGCCTAGCCAACATGGTGAAACCGTGTCTCTACTAAAAATAGAAAAATTAGCCAGGTATGGTGGTGCATGCCCATAAGCCCAGCTACTCGGGTGTCTGAGGCAGGAGAATTGCTTGAACCCGGGAGGCGGAGGCTGCAGTGAGCTGAGATGGCACCACTGCACTCCAGCCTGGGTGACAGAGCGAGACTCCGTCTCAAAAAAACAAAACAAGACAAAACAAAACAAAAAACCCCAAACCCAGAAACTAGAAAATACATTGAGATTACTCACAATGAATACACAAAATACCAAAATGCATGAGCTGCAGCTAAAGCAGTGCTAAGCGTGAAATTTATAGCAGTAACACCTATATTAAAAATGATCCCAAATCAATATGCTAATTGTACACTTTAAGGAACTAAATGAGGTGGGGACCTTACTACTAACCTTACAAAAATAAAAAAGACCATAAAAGAATACAGTGAACTGTACAGCAACAAATTACATAACCTAGATGAAGTGGACAAATTCCTAGAAACACACAAACCACCAAAATGAACTAAAAAAGAAACAGAACATCTGAACAGACTGATATAAGGCTGAATCAGTAATCCAAATCCTCCCAACAAAGAAAGGTTCAAGACCAACTGTCAGTCTTTAAATGTTTGGTGAAGTCTACCAAACATTTGAAGAAAAACTAATACCAATCCTTCTCTAATTCTTCCAAAAATAGAAGACGAGTGAACATTTCCTCATTCTATGAGTTACCTGAACCAAAGCCAGATAAAGAAATCACCCAAAAACTATGATCAATATTCCTTCTGAATATGTGTGCAGAAGTTTTCAACAAAATACTAGCAAACCAAATCTTGCAACAAATAAAAAGTACTATACACCATGACCAAGTACAATTTATTTCTAGGAATGCAAGGTGGCTCACCATAAGAAAATAAATCAGTGTAATATATCACAATAATAAAATAAAGAAAACAAATCACATGATCATCTCAACTGATGCAGAAAAAGCATTTGACAAAAATATGATAAAAAACCAAACATTTAACATAGTAGGACTAGAACAGAACTGCTGCTACACAATAGAAAGCACTTCTGAAAAACTATAGCTAACATAATACACTAGGCTAAAAAACAGGAAGGTTTCTTCCAAATATCAGGAATAAGACAGGGATGCCAGCTTTCATCATTTCTATTCATTATACTGGAAGTTCTAGCTAGAGGAAATAGGTGAGACAAATTTAAAAAACTGCATCCAAATTGGAAAGAAAAAAAGTAAAACTATCTCTATTCTCATAGACCATGAGATCTAACATATGGATGAGACTAAGGAATCCACAAAAAACTACTAGAACCAATAAATGAATTCAGCAAAATTGTAGGATACAAGATGAACACACAAGAATCATTTATCTCTCTAAATACTAGCAATGAATAATAAAAAAGAAAATAATTCCATTTATAACAGAACAAAAAATAATAAAATAGGAATAAATTTAACCAAGAAGGTACATGACTTATACGCGAACAACTAGAAAACATTGCTAAAAGAAATCAGAAGACCCAAATAAATGGCA